CAATCCCTGCCATGGATCGTGACGCATATAAGTAGATGCGTGGGCGGGTGAGTGGGTGCGTCGGTGCATGGGTGGCGGGGCACGGGAAAAGGACTGCATGGTTTGGATGGGATTGAATGGGATGGGCTTCTAATCTCAGAGAGCGCGCGAGAGCGGGGCATGGAGAGAAAGTAATAAAGCCGAGAGCGGGGAAGAGAAAGAGAGAGAGAGAGAAAGAGAAAGAGAACGAGAAAAGAGATTTCTGTTCGAGCAAAGCGATGGAGAGTGGAGCATCTAGGAGCGAGCGAGGAGAGAGAGATGAGAGTGCATATGGGGAGATCTAGAGCCGAGAAAGAGAGAGAGGAGAGAGAAGAGAGAGAGAGGAGAGAGAGAGAGAGAAAGAGAGGGCGAGAGAGAGAGATAAGAGGCGAAAGAGAGATGTTAGAAGAGAAGACGAGAGAGAGAGAGAGAGAGAGAGGAGAGAGAGAGAGAGAGAGAGAGAGAGAGAGAGAGCAGATAGAAGAGAGATAATACAGAAGAGAGAGAGAACAAAGAGACCAAAAAGAGAGAGAGATTAAAGCCGAGAAGAATAAGGGAGAGGGGAAGCGAGAGAAAGCGGAGAAGCGACCATGGAGAGAAAGCGCAGGCGAAGAGCGAGAGGAAGCAGAGAGCGCCCCAAGTCGTGTGCTGGCGAGTTCCCCCAAGGTTCGTGTGCGCCGTAGCTTGCCAGCGCGCGTCCTTCCACTCCCGCCGGACTACACAACAGCGGCGCACCGAACCGTACAGTAACATCGCGCGTCGTCGGTCGACCGCTAATACATATACATCCGGGCAAGCAGCGTACGCACGGCTGAATTTGTTTGATGTTAAAATTAACTTGGCGCGCAATTCTGCCCAATCGATCTGCCCCTCGCTCTTCATCGCTTCGTTTATCCGTCGCGCTCAAGGTCTCGAGTGAGATTCTCGGTGGACGAAAGGCAGAGCTGCTGCCGGACACGGGCCGTTAACGCAATAACTCGCCGTCTTATAATGTATTTTAAACGCTGTTTATTTTCGTGTTATCATTGCGAGATTCAAAACCGCGAGTAATAAATGGGTTACAAATGCGAAGACGGTGTGTGCGGTGCGGTGCGTGTGCGTGTGCGTGTGCGTGTGCGTGGTGGCGTGTGTTTGTGTTTATGCGCTGCGCGGCCGTGGTGCCGGTGTGCGTGCGTGTATGCTGCGTGCGTCGCAACGCGCCGTGCGTCTGGTACGTGCAGGCGCGCCGCCGGTGTATTTGGGGGAGATAGATATAAGGTATTGTAGATGGTGAAGGCAGCTGCCGTACACCGACCTCATTCCTTGTACCTGCGCAGAACCACGAGGAACAAGAGCACGCAGGCGCGCGTGCGTGCGTGATTGGCGGCGGTGAGTTTTCAGGGTCGCAACTTGGAAAACCCAGAGGGTGCACTTAGTCGCTAATCGTACGAAATAATACATACGTGGTGGTGAGTGTGCGTTGAACCGTCGATCGTAAAGCAGAGTGGAAGCCTCTGCGTTGAACCAGAGGGAGAGGCGGAAGGACATCGCTGCATGCAGCTTAGTGATATAATCTCCGTCGTCGCCCGCAATTACGTACGCTCAAGCGATGGGATGGATGGCGGGTATAATGTTTAGAACCCGGCGTTATGCGCTGTAACGTTAGAAGCCTCACCAGTTTGCTAGCGTTGAGTAATATAGCCATGAAATACGTATTTATTTTACCAACATTGCATACGTACATACATTCTATTATATTCGATACATTTAATTTACCGAATACTTTGCATTCTATATACATTATATATCAGCAGTGTTCTAATAGATAGTATAAGATATCAAGTAGATTAGTCTATATGTTACTTGGCACCCTCAATTATATCAAGAGCCAATACCTACTACTGACAAGTTGTATTATTAGCTAATCAGAAGGGAATAAATATATACGTAAAATTAATATTCGTAATAATAACAACCTGCTTATTTCACGCAAAGGTATAATAGGTGCAATAATGGTACATAACGCTACTATTCCCTGATTGTACAGCATATTATATGGCTTCGTAGCACTACATCGTAGCCAACATAAACCTACGAAGCTGGAGCACAACATTTACGTGCTCTCTATAGACGTTGCGTGCACGCTCATACAGAGTAAGCTAGGTATGATGTGTTCGCTGTGGAAACGGGATGACAGGCATAGAAGCGCCGGAATCGAGTCTAAAGAGATGGTTTACGGGCGGCGAATGGATGTCTGAGCCAACCGCGAGAGCTATGACGTGATCATGAGTCATGCCGAGCCAGACGTAGGAGCTTCGATATGAATACACGATGCGGCTACACGGTACGGTGGAGTACCCTTGCGCTGCGTGCGTGAGTTGCGTAAGGTGGTGTACGTGCGGTGCATGCGTTGCACAACTACAGTTTATAAATTCATGGAAAGGGTGTACCTCCTGTCTCTGCTAAGGATAAACAACATCGCCTTTTCTAACTTAAATTTATG